CAATGACTTTTCACTGAGGATGGACTTGAACATCCCCCATCTCTACAAACCCAATTTGTGCCACACATACCCTTGACATCGTGCTCTATCTAAAACCTTTCAGTTTTTTTGAACATGCCAAAATAAAGGCCTCCTCCCTCTCTCCCTCTCTCTCTCCCTCTCTCTCTCTCTCTCTCCCTCTCTCTCTCTCTCTCCCTCCCTCCCTCTCTGTGCTTGCCCATTCTCTTCACAGCACTTAACAATTTTTAATAATTTTACTTCATTTTTTTTGATTGGTTTCTCTCACTAGATTAATGTTCTAATTAGCAGGGTGGAGGTCTTATTGTTTACACAATACTTGACATAGTGCTTTGAATATAAGCAGGTGCTCAGTAATATTTACTTAATAAACAACTTCCCCCAATACTTGTTCACAATCACTCATTTCCACCTAGCTTCAAAAAGTAAATAAAATAAATAAACAAACAATCATTCTTTTCCATTTCCTAGTTCCATGTAGTACAAAACTGTTACTGCTTATTAGAAGCTACCCTAGCTGGACTATAACACTAGGCCAAGTTCTCCTTATTACATGGCTTAGGCTTCAGCGATCAGGGACTCTCGAGTTATTAACACGTTTATAACTTTCAGGAAGTAGAAGTTTGGTCCAACCAGACCTTGGCTTCTCTTCCTTGCTCCTCATTCAAGAATTATACTAACTGGCTGGAAGCTTATCAAGTGAAATGCCTAAAGAGCAGGGAGGCAAACTATAGTCTGGAAAATGGCTCTAAAAATGGCTCTAAAAATGAAAAGTCTGCAACAGACGTTCCAAATCTGTTTGGCCGGCATTCTTCCTATGAATAGGGCATTTGGTTCTCTGACCCTTCTTCATAGTATTAAGAGCCTGCATCGCCCTCTTAAAAATGTTTTATAGCCTCCTGATTTCGAGTATAATTTTGGAATTCCTCACTTTCTCCTTACTTGCTGTGTAGAATCCTTAAGTTCCTAGCATTTGCCTTTGATCCTGGACCAAAGAAGGACATCTGTGACTCTGATGCCAAGATACTGGGTTATAATTCAACTTCCAAGTGGCTGAGGCTACCTAACACAGAATTTTCCATCATCAGAGTTACCATGTCTCTCTCACGTGGTGGTGGCCCCACAGCTTACTTTGGGCTGCGAGCTGTTATGGTAATAAGAAGGGAGAGGACTTAGGACAACGGTGCAATGAGAGGGGTTGTAGCTATACAAATTTGTAGGAAAAACAAAACAAAACTCCCATTTGGTTTACATTTTCCCAGTCTCAGAGTACTACCTTAGAACATAAAGACAGTCAGGTCTCTCAAGATTGCACAACCCAGACTACCCTCTGTGACTTTCCTCAGGTTGCCTTGGCGACCTCAACAGGACAATTTCTGAGGAAGGTCCTAGAGTTGGCAATGTAACTGCAACATCATTTACATCAAATGTGGTTTTAAGTGAGGTAGACTTAGAAAAGCAGTATTAATACTTGTGTGTCTGTGTGTCTGTCCAGAAAGATACATAACCAGTAATAATAATTGTCTCTGAATAAGACTGTAAGACAGGAGTGACAAGGAAATTTGTTTCACTGAGCACCTTTTTGAACTATTTCTGTTTTTTTTTTTTTTATCATGAGCATGTTATATCTAGTAAAAAATAAATGTTTCAAAATTGAAAAACATAAAAGAAATACAGTTTATCCTCAAAGAGCCATTTAGCTGGAGCAATTTAGCTGGAATAACAAACAAGAGACTATTAGAAAAATATAAGACAGCACATAACTAAATGCCAACATGGGTGGTACAGATTACAAGTAGAATAGGAGGAGAGGTCTGTTCAGTTGGAGGAGCTGAGTCTTAGATGAGGAAGGGAAACTTTTAGCCCAGGGAAACTTAGCAAATAAAAATGGGTAGAGGCAAAAATGTACACAAATGAAGAGTAGACTCGAGTCAAATAGGCCTTGTTCCAGTCTCAGCTCTATAACTTACTTGCTGAGCAACCCTAAAACGGGTTTTATAACCTGTTTCAACCTCAGATTTCTCATTTGTAAAATGCAGATAAGAGTATCAACCTTAATAGGATTAAGAAAAATTAAAGAATGTATGTAAAATGGTTAGCACAAGTGCCTGATATAGAGTAGGTGCTCAACTAAATGTTGCTTAGTATAAACATGGTTGAACAGAGCAACCAGTCTTGCTAGAGTACAGGGTATCTGTTCTGGAGAAGGAGAAAGATAATACTGGCTATTAGAGTAACAGCAAGTGTGGACGGTCATCTCATTTTGTCTTGGGGTACGTGTAGCATGAAAATTATAAACAAGTGTCACCATTATGTATTCTCTAATGTTCAAGAAGGTGGGAGATCTAACAGTTATAGGGTTTTTCTCTAGCATGGCGCCTCTGGTGCCTAATCAAAACAGAATTTTGACTGAAGGCCTTCCCACAGTCATTACATTTATAGGGTCTTTCCCCAGTATGGATTCTCTGTCGTCGGATAAGGTGTGCCTTGCAAATGAAGCTTTTCCCACAGTCAGGACACTCATGAGGCTTCTCCCCAGTGTGGACCCTCTGGTGCTAAGAAAGATCCGAGTTCCATGTGAAGCCTTTCCCACAGTCCTTACGTTCATAAGGCTTCTCCCCAGTGTGGATTCGCTGATGTCGAAGGAGGGCTGGGTTCCAAGTAAAGCTTTTCGCACATTCCTTACACGTATATGGTTTCTCCCCAGTGTGGATTCGCTGATGTTGTGTAAGGCTTGTGTTCTGACTAAATCCCTTCCCACATTCCTTACATTCAAAGGGTTTCTCTCTTGTATGTGTTCTCTGGTGCCGAATCAAGTTTGACTTCCAAATGAATGCTTTAGCACATTCTTGACATACATAGGGTTTCGCCCCAGCGTGAATTCTCTGATGTGCAATGCAATGTGATCTAAAACTGAAAGTCTTCCCACATCCCTTACATCCATAGACCTTCTCTCCATTATGAATTCTCTGATGTTGATCAAAGTCTTCATTTTGACCAAAACATTTGCCACATTCTTCACATATATAGGATACCTGCTCACTTAGAATTTTCTGATGTATAACAAGGTGAGTGTTAACATTGATATTTTCTGAACTGTCTTCTACTGAGATCATCTCATCTTTGACAATCACTTCTATAATATCATTTGTAGTGTTCCCCACACTTCCCCCATTGGAGTAGTCAGGCCATGTCCCTAATATGCTTTTCTCTTCACAAGTTTTTCCAAACCAGAATTCCTGGGAGCCACAGCACCAGGGTCCATTTGATGGCACCCTGTGGTCCTGTGGCTCCTCAAAAATTTCCTCCTTCAGAATAAAATCTTCTTCCTCGCTCTTCAACACACCCCCTGGAAGAAGAAATCAGAGCTGCAGATGTCATCATAAAGTGATTAAGGTCACCAAGTGGTGGTAATATGTTCATTTCTCTCCAAGTGCCACCCCTCTGTCTCAGCGGCTCTGACCTAGCTGAAATGGCAAAACAGAGCTTAACACACAGAAAGCTACTAAAAGCAAAAGGCAGAAACTAGAGAGTTCCTGCAGGCTGTGATTCCCAGCACGAGACCAGGCATGGAGGGAGGGGCACTCTCAGGAAACAGTTGAACTGACTCTAAGGAGTGCAACTCAGAATTCCGTCCAGGTAGTCAGCCCAGTTTATAACATGAGAGTAGGCCAGGGTAGTATACCTGGTATACCTGGGAAACTTGAGCTTGTCACACACAGGGGGAGCAGCAAGAAGAATCTTCATCATATTTTGCTTTTGTTATATATATATATATTTTTTTTAATTTTATTATTATTTATTATTATTTGTGCCTACAGCACCTGGTCTTCCTAGGTGGTCTCCCATCCAAGTACTAACCAGGCCCGACCCTGCTTAGCTTCCTAGATCAGACATCGGGCTTGTTCAGGGTGGCATGGCTGTAGACCATGGACCATGGCTCCGCTGGGGCGTGAACCCAGGACCTTCTGCATGTAAAGCAGATGTGCTAACCGCTACACCATGGAACCATGTCCTTCATCATATTTTTCAACATCAATCACCAGGTGTGCCATGAAAAGAGCTTCCCCAAACTACTTTGGGCAGAGCTGGGCAAAGACTGCCTCCTCTTCGCTCCCATAGGGTCTTATTCACACTTATTAGTGTTACATTTTGCTGTAATTATACATTTCTATATAATGTCCCATTAGACTGTGGGCCCTTCCAGGATAGGGGTCAAAATATAATACTTGTTTTTGATCCCAAGCAACTAACACAATGAGTAAAATACAAGTGTCTAATTTTAAAACACTGGTTGACCATTGTGGCCAGATGCGTAGGCCATCTGTTCAGTTCAAGTCTAAGACCCAAAATTCACCAAGTATAATTAACTGGGCCTGTCCAAATGAAAGCTTGAAGCTTGGGGTTTAAGTTTTCTCTTGATTAATTGGTTGATTTGGGCATTTTTAGAGGATCTTTTATTTAAAACATAAATGGTAAAATAGATTTTTGACATTTTACGAAGGGAAGACAGGAAAATATGTGACTGGGACAAACCTGCTCATTTCCCTCTCACTTACCGGTACAGCTCAGGCTTGGACCCTCTCTTTGTGGTTTCAGGTTCAATGGCTCTTCCATCTGCTCAAGATGGCAGATGCCAGCAGGCAGGAACGCCGCGGCAGGAGGGGAGCACCTTGCAAGGGTGCAAGCCTCCTGACGCAGGGCCCTGCATCAAGGGAACACCATGTCCAGGGTGGGCCTCCCACGGCGCGTCCCGTGGTGGTGGGTGAGCTCTGTGGGACCTCACATCACTGGGGGAACACTGTACAGTACAAGCCTTCCCATGCGGAGCCCCACTGCATTAAGGGGACACCGTGTCTGGGGGCGAGCCTTCTGATGCAGGGCACAGAGGAGTATGATGAAAAAAAAAAGAGGAAAGAAATGGATAGCCCGCCAGGTCAAGATATAAATAAGACGGCTCAGTGGAAGGAGTGGGGCCCAACAGGGAAGGCGCAGAGACAGAAGTTATAAGAGGAGAATGAAGGTGGCCGGAAGGAATGGTAACATGTGACCTGAAACTCGAGGGGCATAAGAACATAACGGATAAGAAATAGAGGTACTGGGAAGTTGCGATTCTATCAGTTCCTCAAAATACGAAAACATCACTCATTTTAAAATGTCAAGGAGGCGAAGCCAGTCCACATAGGAAAGAATCAGGACAGGATGGACTTACAAAGAGCCATTCCCAAGGCCATGTCGGGAAACCGCATCTCTGTTTCTTTCCTTCCTATCCAGCTATCTTTTGCCTTCTCTTTCCACAAAGGATCAATAATGGGTCTCTCTATAGCATCCATAAGAAATGGCCTCACTCGATCACTTCTTACTCTAATGACAGTCATCTCTGATTACAGAGGTCCACTCTCATAAACTATTGTTCAGGCTTAGCTAAGAACCACCTCTTTGTAACTCCCATCCAAAGCTTCTTAAGAAACAAATCAACTCTACACCTTCCAAATGATGACCTTTCATGCTGCTAAAGCCAGGGACTATGTGTCCCCTCAGTACTCTCAGAGACAAAAGTGGACTTCGAGTAGGAATATGTACTCCAAGGAGGTCTGCTGCAGGGCAGTGAGCTGAGGTCTTGCTTGAGTAATAACTTGGCCGTTGGCTTTCCACCTAAAGCAAAGATGAGAAATCTCCTTGGGTGGCAAGGAGAGGAAGCGCCGAGATCCTGAGAGAACGTAGGGACACCGTGGTTATCTCCCTGCATCCGTTCCCCCTCCCCCACTGTGGAGTAGCCATGCCCTTTGGGAGTGAGCCCGACTCCAGCCACTCATGTCGGCCCACACCAGTCTAAGCCAAGCAGGTGATGCCATCCCGCCCACTGCCTGCCAGGCTGGTTCAGGGATCGACAGTCCAGCCAAGTCAATCAGAGCACAGTATTTCCCTGGCCTCAATGATGGATTTGGAGCTGGCGTAAGACTTAAGATGGTTCGTTGGAGCAATACTTGGGGATTTTGAGTCTGAGGAAGACCTACCCTGTTTCTCCCTGTGTGTATGATTCACGACTACCAATCACCTTACAACCATGAGAGCAGCCAGACTGTACACAAAGCCAACATACAAGGAGACAGAGAAGAGCAGACTGAAATTCTAATCAAACTGCCTTCAGCCCATTCTACCTATGGACTTCCCAATGACATGAAACAATTAACTCCTCTTTATTATTTAAGCCGGTTTGAACTGGGTTGTTACTTGCAATCAAGAGTTTTCTAACATGGAAAGACTGACAGACACAGCAAAGAACTGTGAGAATGGAGAAGTGGAGAGTAACACGAGTCCCACTGTACCCACAAAAGAGCCCCTCTGGGAAGAAGATGGAATGGGGCCCCCATGGCAATAAGGGGACACAGTTCTCGCTGGGAAATTAGGAGCAGTAAAGCCCTGTGTTGAACCTGAAGGAAGGCCGGGCCTTACCCACCAGAAACCCCCGAGGAATAGGAACTATTTGGTTTGGAGTTATCAAAATTTCTTGATTTCTAATGATAGAGATGGCCGTGATGCCCCCAAGGGCAGTCAGAATCTTCTGCTGGAACATTAAGCAGGCCAGGAAAGCAGAAAAGCCACCTCAGATCAGAGAGTAAACAGAAAAGTCAGAGAGTAAAGATAAATAGCGGCCATGATAAAAACGGCAGAGATAGGGAAGAAGCGAAACAGGTGAATGAAGGTGGCCCCCAGCGGAGCAGGGTGACTAAAACAAGAAGGTGGAAAACCACGGGGCACAGAGGACAAACAGGAACCCCTCTGGTGTGTACAGCACTAGGTTAAGAGAACATAAACCTATTACAACATAAAGACCAAGACAAGGAAACCGGTCAGATGACTGACGTGTGTCCTCACTCACCTGAGGAGATGGCCCTTGGGGCCTCTCCATCCAGAGCTCCCTGAGTGGCTGAGCACCAGGGCGCTTCCCCTCGCCCCAGCTGGGAAATCAGAGCCGGTTTAGGAAATGGAAATGCTGCTTGAGGGGAAGGAAATGGGAAGGCAGGTGAGTGGGGTGACACAGAGCAATCCCAGGGCTCCTCCCAGGCCTGTGTCTCCAGGGGCAGGAGAGGAAAGAAGGGAATTTACTAGGGGGGAACAAGACAAAGAAGTCCAGGGAAAGGGGCAGGAGACCCAGGGGAAAGGTGCTTTCGAAGGCTGGGAAGGAGGGTAGGAGGTGCTCAATAACATCTGAGCGAGCAGATGCACGATTTCACTCACTGAAGAACTGAGCCGTCTCAAGTGCAGACATCTGCATGGCCATGCTTGGTATTGGACCATGTCTCCCAAACTGAGGGCGTGGGCAACTGAGGGCTGCGTGGGGCACCAGGAAGCTGCTGTCTCCCCACCGTACCCACAGCACGGGGGTTAGGGGGCGGGCAGCTCGCACTCTGGGGCAAGGAGGTCCTAGGTGAGGCCCAAACTGATACCAGGAGTTCCCAGCAACCACTGAGGACGGGTCATTATGAATCCAAGAGCCTGAAGTTGCTACTCAACCCAGGACTCCTAAAGACGCCCGAGCCTCTGAGAAGGGCGGAGAGAGTCCGAAGGGAAAGACCCTTACCCAGGGAAGCCACGGCCCCATAATTCTCCAGCATCACGTCCTTGTACAGAACTCTCTGAGCCGGGGCCAGGCAGGTCCACTCGTTCTCAGAGAAGTAGACGGCCACGTCCTCGAAGGTCACTAACTCGTAAAACAACATGTGTTTCTATGCCCTGGGACAATCCCAGGACCCAGACCTGTGGGGCAAGGGGTAGACCAGGCACTAAGAGGTACTAGAGGGGATGCTGGTTGAGTTTCTGGATTCTGAACGTTTAAAGGAACTGTCAGCAAATTTCTGCCCTCTACTTACAAAGATAAAAGAGATTGGCCATCAGTTTCCTCATGACTCTTCATCTTTACTTCAGCAAACATCCTCTCATCTTTTTCATGAGTCTCAGCAAGTTTTCCCTCTTCATCCCTATGCCCGAAACAACTATCTGCGCTCTAGGTGCCACCCCTTCTCCACAATGTGTCCTTCAGAGGTCACCAACCCTCAATAACAAGTGCAACTACCACTACTGAGCCTGTGCCGAGCACTTTACATATATTACTTTGTATATGCCTCAAGGCCTCTGAGGAAGGTATTAGATCCACTTTACAGAAAAGGAAACTGAGGCTCAGAGATTAACTTCCCCCAAAGATACAGAACTGAGACAGAACTCGGGCCTGTTTCGCCCTCTGGCTCTTACCTACTATGCCACACTGGCTCTGTCCTCTCTCCTGCCACCGCTCCTGCCCCTGTGGAGGACCCTTTCTCTTCTTTCCCTCCAAGTCATTGCCACCAGCCAAAGAGGCAGCTAAGGGCTCCTCAGAACACTCAGGTTGTTCTGGAAACTGTACTCAATAGGACGGACCCAAACTCTGACTTTATTCCCTGCACTCCCCACCCCAACACACTCTCTAAAACATCCCACCCTAGTCTGTCTTCCCCACATCCCAGTATCCAAGTCCCCTTGTTCTGTATCTCCAGGAGCCCAAGCTCCGGCAGCTTTTCCTTCCTTTCTCTCTCACCTTCCTCCTTAGGAAACAGTAACAGTGCTAACTTAAGAGCCATCAAGACGTCTTATGACTCCCAACCACTGCCTCATTCAAGATGGCAGTCTCCATACTGCAGAGGCACCCATTCTGGTCCATTTCCTGTCAGTCTTGCCCTGTCAAGTCCCACAGGGACTTATGCTGCACTCCAGGGCTCAGGCTTTGGCTGGCTCACCTTTGTCTGTCCAAATCTGTACCACAAACAATTCCATTCACTCTTTAGGGACCCAGCTTACCTGCCGAGGATCATTTCCTGAGCCACCAACCTCATCCTCTATCCTGTCACCGTCCTGTTATGAACCCAGACCCTGTCTTTGCCCAGATCTGTGCTCTTGCTCCTGCAGTTCCAGCTTCCTGAAGATCTAGCCCCTCCCTCCACTGCCTGCAAGCTCACGTTCACCTGAAGACCACTTCACACAGAACCAGCTCTGTAAAACCAGTGTCATGGCAATTCTGGCCTTTGGTCGCCGCGCACAGCGCTGCGAACATCTCTCTGCCCCAGCTCTTGGCTCATGCCTGTGCAGGCAGCTGCACGTGTGCTTCTGCCCGTGCAAGTCTGAGGGGTGTCGAATCCACTTTGCCCCCTGCCTCTTCCTCAGGGCCCTCCACTCTGGGCTGTACCTCAATTTCCTGGTCGCCGCACTGCCCTCTTTCCGCCCCTTATCTGAGCCTGGAGCCCGGGGCAGAGCGGAGCCAGGTTCCTGCCGGCGGCCCCGCACTCACCCGGCGCGCCCGGGCGGACGCGAGCTGTCCCGGCTGCAGCTCGAACACAGGGCCGAAGCGGGCCCCGCTCGCCGTGGCCCGGGCCGCCCATGGGAGAAGAGAGCGTGCGGCGGGCCCGCCCGGGGGCCGCCCGCGGTCGGGAGGGGACGCTCCGGACCGGGGCGGGACTGACATAACTACCCCACACCGGGAAATCCCACGCTCTGCGCAGGCCAGAGCTCTGCGCCCGACAGGTGGAGGATGCAGCGCTCGTCCCACTCCGGCTTCTCTAGGACGGCGGAGGGCGCCGCATCTCTGTGGTCCTCCTTTCTTCCCTGCAAAGAAGTTGTGGGGAGTTGTTGCTATCCCTGAGACACCAACTGCCCCAGGACGCTGCTGCAGGGGTGGGGGTGGTGGGGAGCGGGCAGCTGGGGAGGAGACTTCCTCTAGGAATCCTTTCCCGGCCCTTTCCCCACTGACCACCCTTCTCCACTTGCTGCAACCTTGCAAGATGGATGCTGATAGAAGGTAGCACATACTTCACTTGACTGGGCCTGTTCATGCGTCTGCCCCCCTTTACTAGGTTCTACATCCAGAGAGCGGATTATTTCCTTGATATGTTCATCTTTGTGCCTCTAACATCCGCTCAATGTCTAGAACTTCTTAGAGCCCAATTTCTTTAAAGTGTCGGGAATAAAATAATGAATAAATGTTAAGCCAGTTTTTCGGTTGAAGAAAGTAAGGCTCAAAGAGAGGAAATGGCATGTCAGGAAGTTAACCTTTTCAACAGAGTTGTGGCAATAAATAAAGACAGCCCAAATGAAAAGCAAAGGCCCTTTATTCAAAGCTTGTTAGAGCAAAGGAGTCCGCCATTCTCACTTGTATTGGGCAGAGACCAGAAGTCAGGCAAAAAAATGGGAAAGCTTTAATCAGAAAAAAGGGAAGGCTTCAGGTCTGCTGATTGGAGGCTGGCATGGCGGGGACTGGCTAGAGCAGAGCGTCTTATGTGATTGTTTGGGGAAGCACATTCAACAAATTCTGGCTCTTTGGGAGTATAGAGGTTATTTTGGCTTCCCGGACTAGTTGCTACAGATTATGGGTAAGAATTCTATTTTTCTATATGGTCTGGCCATTATTCATTTGTATATTCAGTCTCTTTTTTTATATATATATTCAGTCTCTTTTTCTTTTTTGTATATTCATGTAACTAATCTCCTCCTTTTCTCATTAAAAAACAAACAGACAAAAACCTAGTCTTCACCACATAATCTGAACACTGTTTGAGTTTCTGCCCAAAACAGTGCTTCTCAAATAGCTATTCTTTGGTCTCAAACACTTACTGTCTCTCCTTTCAGCTTTTTATTTTTAAGTTAACACTGGTGTATGTGATGGCGAGTAGAAGATAGTTAACCTGAGGGGCCAGGCTGTCAAACCCAGCTGCCATGGAGGGCTTTCACCCAATTCCCGGAAAAAAGGAGGAAACCTGAAAGCCATAAGCCAGTCCATCCCTACCTTAAATGAGACTATTATTCTACGACCTAAACACAGTGAAATAATTTCTCACTTGTATCTTCATTTCACCGGTACTGCTGTTGCATTGGGGGGCTAAGGCAGTGGGCAAGAAGGGGCAAGCATGGGGGAAGTGGGCAATATCATCTAGAATTGGAATAAAGGGCAAACAAGACTCGGGGCTGGGGGGATAGGAAGGGCAACCGGACCACAGAACCCACAGAGAACCCCAAATAGGAACCACAGCAGGTAAACAGAACTCTCTGGTCGGTAGCCAGTTGCTCAATATTCTGGGCCACATATGGATTACGAAGACAGGAGACTGGACGGGACCAGACCCACTCGATCCCTGTCTGGAAAACTCAAACCCCACACACCCACCATCACCACCACCACCACCACCACTACCACCATGGAATGTGCAAAAAAGGTGAGAAATAATGCTGGCGCAGGGCTTATGAGAACTCTCAGGAGTGCAGGCCGAAGTGGTGGCTTCGCTTAGCGCGCGTGTTGGCCACAGCGAGGGGGAGGTGCCCGCCGCACGTCCTTCTCCAGTCCCAGCCCCACCCCCTTGCGGATGCTCCGCAGACGAACTGGCAGACACGCAGCGCCGGGTCGCGAAGCCCCGCGGACCCACCGACCTGGGGGCCCTGCGCGCGGGGTGTGGCCCGCACCGCCTGCCCAGAGACGCCATCGCGGAGGCCGCGGGGCCAGCGGTGCGTCACCGCTGCTCCGGCCTCCGGCCCGTGGCCGCTCTAGCACGACCGCCTCTGGGTGTCGTTGATCCTTCCAGGCCACCTTGCTCACCACCGTAATCCTGCCCCTACCCTCCTGCGGAGCTGTGGCCGAGGGCTGGAAGGCTGAGGCGTGTCGCGGGCTCGCGGTGCTCGCTGCGGATCTCTGGCCCGGGTCTGCTCGGAAGGGCCGGGAGAGCAGCCGCGTGCGCCGAGTTCCCCGGGCAGTGGCTCAGCCTCTGCCCGGGGAAGAGCCAGTAATCACTGCTGGTCCAGCGGGCCACCCTTCAGTGGCCCGGGTGGCTGGACAGGCTGGTGTGAAGGGGTTCAGTGCAGCGTGATGGGTCAAAGCCCGAATCCGCACCGAGCCTATGGAGCCCGCTCCCTGCTAGAGTTTCTTCCCTTCCTCTAAGCTCTGCAGCCACGTGGGCCCCAAAGTGCGTGGGTACACACCCCGTACTCGGGGCGCCGCTGCCGCATGCCTTGAGCAACACACCCACACACACACTCCTACCTCCACCTGTAACACCACCGCCACACACAACACACATTGACCTGGCCTAGGCGTCTTCCAGGCCTCCACTTAATGACCATCTGCTTCCTGACTCCTCACCTGCTTCCCGCTCGGTGCCTTTTCTGCAGCATTTCACACAGCTGTAATTATAGACTTCTTTGGGTAATGATTTATTATCTTTTCCCCTTCCTTAAACCATAAACTCCAAGAGGACGGGGACTGTGTTTGTCTCATTCATGATCGTTGCAAAATTTCTGGCAGAAAGTGCCCAACAAATATCTGTTGAATGGATGAGTGGGTGCGAATGGGTGAATAAAGGTGAGAATGAATATAAGATGATGCTGCCAGCCATTAAAAACAAAGTTCAGATCTTTGGAGTTAGCCACAGTTTCTGACTAGATTCTAAGGCTGGAGAGGGTTAATGGCATTGAGGCCTTGCTGCAGTTGCCCTGAGAAATCAGAGAGGACTTCCCGGAGGCGGAGTGTGGGTGTTTTCATCTCCTGTGAAGGGGAGCTCTACAAGGCAAAGGGAGCTCACTCAAGAGAGCATGCAGAGATCCTACGACCTCTGAGGAGACACAGTCCCTGTTTGCAGATCATTTAGGAAGTTAGACTCACTTAAGGTTTGTCAGAACTGGTTGAATGGAGTCTGAACCTCATCTGTTGCAACAATGGGCTAGACTGCTTGACTAAAGCCTGAGAGTCAGTGGAGCAGCTTTCTCCATCTTGAGCCTGCTGGCGTGGACCCAACTTGAGAGAAAGTTCCTGTGACACTCTGAGCCTAGATCCTTATTGTGAAATAAAGCAATTAGGTTAAAGTTCCTATCATCTCTGACATTTGATCATTACAACTTTCCCAGTCTGTCCTTCTTGCTAGGGAAATATGCAAGCCATTTGGGTGAGGGGCAGTGCTCTGGGCGAGAGGCTTAGAAGCTGTAGTCTGAGCCTCTGCTTGCACAGTCCTCAGTCTGGGAGACTCCATGGGTCTTCAAAAGATGAAGAAGGAGTAGACGTGTAAACTTCGTAAGTGCTTGTTGAATTTCTGCTGAATGAGATAGCAAGTGCCCGAGTAAATGGCGGTGGGAGTGGGGTCAAGAAAGGCTTTGTAGAGAAAATGCTGGCACTGAGTCTGAAAAGGTCAGAGCAAAGCCCGAAGCTGGTGAGGGTGCCGTGGCCATAGAAGCCTCCTTCTGAACCTCCTCCTGGTCCCACCTCCTCTTCTCACGTGACCAGGCTCCAGCAAGAGCTAAATCCACTCCCAGACACTGTCTTTCCAGGGTTATTTGCTATAACTTGCAGCCACAGGGCAAGGTCCAGGAACACAGACCTGTCTATTCCCAACTTGTCAAGACCTTTCAAAAGCTCTCGGCACCCGGAGAACGGTGTATCCAGAGCTTAACCTGGAAGAGCACAGCCATGGCGCTCTGGGGTCTTATGCTGGGAATCCTGCTGGTGGCCACTGTGGGGTATCTGTGTCTGCTGGGGCTGTTCCGGCAGCGCAGACCCCAGGAACCCCCTCTGGACAAGGGCTCTGTGCCCTGGCTGGGCCATGCCATAGCTTTCCGGAAGAACACGTTTGAATTCCTGAAGCAGATGCGGACCAAGCACGGGGACGTGTTCACGGTGCAGCTAGGCGGCCAGTACTTCACCTTTGTCATGGACCCCCTGTCCTTTGGCCCCATCCTCAAGGATGCCCAGAGAAAACTAGACTTTACGAAGTATGCGGAAAAACTAGTGCTAAAGGTATTTGGATACGACACGGTGCCGGGAGACCACCGGATGATACACTCAGCCAGCACCAAGTACCTCATGGGAGACGGCTTGGAGGATCTCAATGAAACCATGCTGGACAGCTTGTCCTTAGTCATACTGGGGCCTATGAGCCAGAGTCCAGATGCCAGTTGCTGGCATGAGGATGGTCTCTTCCACTTCTGCTACAACGCCTTGTTCAAGGCCGGCTACCTGAGCTTGTTTGGCCACACAAAGAATAAGGAGCAGGACTTGCTACAGGCGGAGGAGGTATTTGCAGAGTTTCTCAAGTTTGACCGTCTGTTTCCCAGGTTTGTTTACTCTTTGCTGGGCCCCTGTGAGTGGCTAGAAGTGGGCCGGCTCCAGCGTCTCTTTCACAAGACGCTCTCTGCACAACACAACTTGGAGAAGGATGGCGTAAGCAACTGGATAGCCTACATGCTTCAGTTTCTGGGGGAGCACGGAGTAGCCCCAGCCATGCAGGACAAGTTCAACTTCATGATGCTCTGGGTCTCTCAGGGAAACACGGGGCCTACCGCTTTCTGGGCCCTCTTGTTCCTCCTGAAGCATCCAGAAGCCATGCGGGCTTTAAGAGAGGAGGCTGCACGGGTCCTGGGAGAGGCCAGGCTGGATGCCGGGCGGTCCTTCAACTTCAAAGTCAGTGCGCTGCACCACAGCCCAGTGCTGGACAGCGTGATGGAGGAGACACTGAGGCTGCAGGCTGCGCCCACCCTCCTCAGGGCCGTGAATGGTGACCATATCCTGAAGATGGCCAGTGGGGAGAAGTACCAGCTCCGCAATGGGGACACCGTGGCCCTCTTCCCTTACCTCTCAGTGCACATGGACCCTGAAATCCATCCCGATCCCACGGCCTTCAAGTACGATCGCTTCCTCAACCCCAATGGCAGCCGAAAAGTGAACTTCTACAAGGCAGGCAAAAAGATCCACCACTACACCATGCCCTGGGGCTCGGGCATGTCCATCTGCCCTGGGAGGTTCTTGGCCCTCAGTGAGATGAAGCTCTTTGTCCTGCTCATGATCACACACTTCGACCTGGAGCTGGTGGACCCTGACACACCTGTGCCACCCGTGGACCCCCAGCGCTGGGGCTTCGGCACCACACAGCCCAGTCACGACGTGCGCTTCCGATACCGCCTGAGGCCTCCTGAGTAAGCTCCGCTGAGGGGGGCAACGGCCCGGCCAGCGGGGCTTCCTGGGGGTCTCCAGCTCCTCTGGCCCCTCTGAAGCCCCAGAACCCCACCCACTACCCCACCCTCTGCTTTTGCGGCCCCCCTGCCTCTGTCCTGGTCGTCCTCCTTGCTCTCTGGCCTCCATCTAGCCACCTCCCAGGCTTATCGTTCTCTCTTTAAAATACCATCTCTCACAGTGGGTTCTGCAGAAGCTCCTCTCACAGGAAGTCCGGGGGAAGGCAAACTATCTGTGAGCAACTCAGTTTGGGAGATAGTTCATGCCTCGACAAGTGCCGCAGCGCAGCAACCGGTCACCGTGAGGGGCGCAGCATCCTGCAAATGTTCGCCTCCGTCCCCTGCCCCCACTTTATTTTTCCCCTCGATACTTACTCCACGTCCTGTGGAATTTATATTCTAGAACAGTGTTGTCCAGTAGCAATATGGGGCGAGCCACATGTGTAATTTTTCACTTCCTAGTTGACATATTTTTTTTTTTTTACAAAAGAAGCAATTAAAAAGTAAAATTCTTTTTTGTAATATGTTTTACTTAACCCCATATAGTAGCATTTCAAGTTGTAATCAATATAAAAATACAAATGAAACATTTTTACATTTTCTTTTTTTTTGTATTGTCTTCGGAATCTGGTCTTTTTCACCTTTTGACGTTTCACCTTTGAGCACGTCTCAATTCAGACGAGCCACACCTCGAGTGCCCCATAGCCACATGTGATGCTTGGCCGCCATACTGGATAGAGCAGGTGTAGAGAAATGCTGCCTTTCATGTAGGAGTTATTCGAGGTCCCTCTTCGGTGCCCTCTCTGCACCCCCACCTTGGGGTGAGCTCAATATTTCCCTTGGCTTTCACAACCACTGCTGAGCTCAGAGCTCTCTCCTGCCCCCGGACGCCCCAGTTTCCCCTTGGTGGACTCCCAACACCTCTGACTCATTTAGCCCACTCAGAACTCAGCCTCTGCCACCCCTCCCTACCCCCTGACTTCTGCCCTGAACCACACCTTCCTCTGATTTCCCCGTCTCTCTCTGCTCAGGACACCACCGCCCACCCCAGCCCCCAAGGAAGATACAGAAGAGAGGCCCTCGCCCTCTCCTTCTCTCTCACCCACATACCCTCAGGTTCCAGTTCTGTCAGCTCGATGCCCCGTGGTGCCTCTGAAACCGTGTCCCCTCCTCCCCATCCCTGCTGTCATTCTTATAGCTCATAACTCAAGCACTTTTCTCCATACCAGGCCCCCTGTCCAGCCTATCGCCAGATCTTTTCCCAAAAGCACCTCTAATTGTCACTGTTTTTATTTTCTGGCTCCCCATCCCTTTCACGTACCTGACATTTAAATTGTGTCCTATTTGATCCCCAAATTTTTCATCCCGTGCAATTCAACTTTGCCAGCTTTCCCCAATGGAACTGTCTAGAAAGCAGGGTTGCTTGCTTTTACTGCCAATCCCCGTACCGGCTACTCCTGGAAGCCTTCTTCCATCTGGCCCATTCCATCCTCCGGCCGGAGATGGCCTCCACCCCAGGGGCTTCCCTGGCACCGTTAGCATCACAGCACATCTGTGATACACATGATGTGTCCTTGCTTTTTCGTGTCCTGGTTGCCCCCTCCTGTCCCTTTACCCAGATTGGAGCCCCTAGAGCTTGGTATCTTATTCTTTTCATCTCTGATCCCCAATTCCATAAATGTAGATTAAATGATAGAAACCCGACTTCCGGTCTTGGCTAATTTACTTCCTGTCCTCAAATCATCTCCTTCTCCACTGCCCTCACTCAGCTTTCAGGCATATGAACTAGAGACAATCCCAGTTACCAGACATAACTACCAGGGCTGGGACAGGGCGAGAGGGTGCTGCTGCCAGACCTGTAGCTGGCTGATGGCAGGGCCCTAGCTAGGGCTGGGACATGACGGGGAGTGACCGTGGGAGCTGGAGAGTCCTAGAGAAGGGAGGCCCCTGCAGCATGGACCTCCTGCAAGGACCACCCAGTGGGGCTTTTCTCTGCTACTCCTACCCTACATCTCCGACTGGTCTCTTCCTTTCTGTGGAGGTTGTGTGTTCTGACATGAGTTTTGCCAGGATAATATGCTATTAGAGCGGGCAGGGGCCTGGGCTGGGGACAGGAGTCTGTCCCCATTAGCTATGTAACTCTGAGCCAGGGCCCACCTTTCTCTGGGTCTAGCTGCCCTAAAATTATGATGTCTGCCTGGTAAGAGCTTCGACTGGCCGGGGGAAGACAGGCTATCCCATCCTGTTCCTTAAGAAGCCAGGAGCACAGGAGAGGGAGAAGGGGGCTGGGAGGCTGGGAGGCTGGGAGCCATCCATGGGGAGCTGCCCAACAACCTGCCCACATGTCCGGTCTTGTGCCAGAGAAGGTGGGGATGGGGCAAAGAGGTGGGGCCTTCACACACCTCCTTGACCTTGCTCAGACCTAGGTGCATTGAAAGAATATGGATCTGGAGCCTGGGCTGTAGACAGGCTGGGTGTGGGTCCCGGGTCTGGCTGTGATCCAGGCTCACGGCTAGGGATAGGACCCTGGATTTAGAATGTTACATTAATGCAGTAGGGCGCCTGCGCCTAACTTGCGTAAGCACGATTCAGCTTATTGCATCACGCATGCGTGGCAGAATGCCGCTACTGCTCTCTGACATACATAAAGCCCGTGCGGGCCCCTAGCACAGGAGCACACTCTCCCCAATAAAGTTGTTGCCTGCCACGTCATTCTCATGTCGGCTCCTTGAGTGTTCTTTCAACCGGGCGTCTCACCACCGAAACCTTCCCTTCTCCATCAGCTCGGTGCTGACGCATGGCGGAGCTGGCAGGATAAGGTGAGTACGGCCCCCAGAGCTCTGTACGGTTCTGGGTAGAGGACATGTGCTCCCCGCCCCCACCTCCCGGGGGTACCCCGTGGCTGCGTATCTGGCTACGTGGATGACCCCAGAGGATTGGGATGGAGAGAAGCCGCGACCGAAGGACGTCCAGAAAGCCCTGGAGTTGCTGGAGCCGAATGTCCCAACCGCTCACTGGGAGGCAGCGGGTCAGGTGGCCTGGATGTTCCCGGCGGTGCTGCGGCAGGCCGGCCTGGAGGTTCAGGACCAGGCTCATCGGGTGCAGCGACTGCAATGTCAGGAAGAAGCACTGGAAAGGCGGTTGGTGGCAGCGGACCCCCCGAAGGGTCGCTGACATCGTCCCGGTCTGGGAATCCACCAGCGACACCGCAGCATGCACGGCCGGTGATGCTGCAGCAGGTTGAAGTGGAACAGCCGTTGGCCCCGGGGGTGGGGGCAAGCTGGGGGCACCCCCAGGCTAAAAAGCATGCCACCTTGATTCAGTACACCACCGCCGAACTCTGGGACTTGACGAAACAGGTACGGCAGACAGCCGGGGAGACAGTTCCGGGGTGGCTGCTGCGGCTGTGGGAGGATGGAGCCAAAGGGACCGAATCGTCTTCTGAAAGATGGCTCAGCTGGCCTCTGTAACGGTGATACTGTCCCTCTGCCAGCATCTCCGGAATGTGGCGCACCTGGCTCGGGGTGCGGGTAATCACTCCCTGACTAGCCGGCTCATGTCCGCTGCACAGACAGCGTGGGCCGACCCGGGGGGCTGCCAGAGACAGCCAAGCAGATGGACCATGTACTTAGATCTGGTTCAGATAATTTGGCAAATGGGCATGCAACAGATGGTGTTCTGCGTCCAGTATACTAGCCCCGATGAAGAGGTGTTTACAACCTATATGAAGGACTTGATCTTGACCTCTGGCCCAGCCGGTACTTCTGGCACCACGGAAGCACCGCTGGTCCCTTACGTGGATAGGTGGATCCACGAGGTAACCCGCCATGGCTAGGCTGGGGATGTGGAAGTCAAACACAAGGAGCATTCCAAGCGCCTGCCGTACCAGCCCCTGCCCTCCCAAACTGGCCAGTGCACGGATGGAGGCGTGGCTGAAAAGGGGGGAGGGTGGGCAGAGCAGCCCCCAGCCCCTAGGCCGTGAAAGTGAGCCGCAAGCAGATGTGGTTTGATCTCCTCTTGGCAGGGGTCCTGCAGAAAAGATTGAGCAGCAACCTGATGAAGTGCTGCTGGGCCTGCGGAATCAGCTGTGTCCTGACCAGCAAGCAGTTCACTCCTATTCCCGGGAAAGCCACGGCCTGTGAGGAGCGGCTGGCAGATTATCTCCCAGATTAGGGATTAGGCTGGGACACCCTATTGGCAGGGGAGCTGGATGACTTGAGGCCACGTGTGGAACTGACTATACATTGGTCCCCCCTCAATGTGCAGAGGGTATTATAAGCCCTTGTGGACACGGGTGCCAACAGCACCCTGCTTTATGGGAATCCGGACGAACTTTTCGGGCCCACTGCAACCATAGAAGGGTGTGGGGGTCGACTCATCTGCGTGCGGCAGGTCCCTGTGACACTGGGTCTCTGCAATTGCCTCCTCGGAGGTACCAAATGTACATAACCCCCATACAGGAGTACATTTTGGGGACTGATGTTTTGCAAAGCTTGACTGTGAATACCACTGCTGGTGAATTCTGCCTTTGCATCCAGGTGGTAAGAACTATCATCTGGGGACATCCACACCATGCCCCGTTGGTGTTGCCCCATGCTACCCGGGTAGTGAACACAAAACAGGATCGCCTGCCAGGCGGCCATAAGGAAATAGGACACATCATTCTGAAGCTGGAAGAAGCTGCTGTCATTCGTCCTACTCACAGCTCGTACAACTCCCCCGTGTGGCCAGGGAAGAAGCCCGGCGGCTCCTGGTGCATGACGGTTGACTATCGGGAGCTGAATAAGGTTACGCCGCCCCTGCATGCAGCCATACCGAATGTCACAGACATTATGGATCGGTTGTCACATGAACTTGGATGATATCATTACGTGGTGGACTTGGCAAATGCCTTTCTCTCTATTGCCATAGTCCCAGAAAGCCAAGAACAGTTTGCCTTCACCTGGGAAGGGCGACAGTGGACATTTCTCATCCTTTCCCAGGGCTATCTGCACAGCCCTACCCTGTGTCGTGGTCTCGTGGCTTAAGATTTAGCCACGTGGAAGTGACTGTCCGCAGTGCACTTGTATCAGGAGGTGCACACCTGGGCCCCCACCACTGGCAGCTAGAATGGTAGAATGACTCAACGGCTTGCTGAAGGACAAACTGCACACCTTGGGCCTGGGCTGGGGTTGCTGATACACTAACCTCCCACAGGCTATACGCCTTCTGAATGAGCAGGCCCAGAGAACAGGGTTGTCTCCCCTTGACAGGGTTGTAGCAGGCTTGCCGTGGGCTATCAAGGTGTGCCTGGGCACCACTGCTGAACAGCTCTTGCCCTGGGCCTACCAGGAAGCTTTGCTCTTGCCGGCCCCAGAACCTTTGGCAGCAGGTAAACAGGTCACCTGGTTGTGGCCCTAGACTATACAGGTGGCCCTGGTGGAGGAGCCCTGGGGACAGGGCTTATGCAATGGGTTGCGGGTAGAACTCTGGATTTATATTTGGCCCACGCCCTTGCGAGTGTCACTCTCGATGACTGCGGAGGGTTCACTGTTAACGGGGAGTTTTGCCCTCAGTTTCTGGCCCATTCCTCTCTATACTATGACGCCAGTGGAGACCCCCTGGCCCGCTACCCTTGGAGAAACTGTGTGGTACCAGGCCGGGGCAGCTCCTCTTCGGGCCACCCTTTTATCTCAAGATGGGCAAGTGACCTGTGTCCTCCCAGAAGGATGGGACTTGCCCCTAACAGTCCCTTTGTCTGCTCTATCCTATGACCCAGCCTGACAACGGAGAACAGTGTCATGTCCTGGGCTCATGGGTTTGCTGCTGTCCACGTCCCACTGCCAGGTGTGTACTGAACTACCAGTGGAAGCAGCCGAGGGACTGCCGTGGCACATTGCTCTGGATACGGCTGAGAACTGGACGTGGCTGCATACCTGGAGCACCGCACCTGAATGGGACCAGCAACAGCAGGCCATGGAAGTGCTGCTCACAACTCCCCACCCTTCACAGGCTGTGCCATTTCCAGTGCGTGGGAATGGTTGGCAGGAGAACATGTAGAACTGCGGAAGCGGGCCTCCCACCGCACAGAAAAAGTGAGATCTGCGCCCGACCGTATCACGGGGTGGCTACCCCCCGAGCTGCGTGCTAACACCACCCTTGCTAATATCTCCAAGGTCTGGTGGAATGGACAGTGTTATGTCGGTACAGAGCCTACCGACCGGCTACCTACTTGCCAGCTCATTGGACAAGCTGTTGCACCTGAGGACGTCCATATTTAGCTGGACATATGTTACCTACATTGCCCAAGTTGCCTCATAATTGGGATCCTATACATCACTGCTGGCACTGGCAGAAACAGGCAGCATGTGGTTCTACCCTCTGGCGTCATTCATTCCAGGGGTGAGATCCATAGATGTAGAATTGCAGGTAGAAGCTTTAGCCCAGCACACCGCACAGGCATTGAATGCTATGCATCAGGCTGTAACCCTTCTAATGGATGAAAACATGCAAATGAGGAAAGTAGCTCTGCAAAACCACATGGCCCTTGACTTCCTAACTGCTGCCCAGGGCGGCACCTGTGCCCTACTCCATGTAGAATGCTGTATCTACATTCCTGATCATGCCGACCAGGCACAGGCAGCCCTCCAGGAAATGGATGCTAAAGTCCAAGCCATCCATGCCCTGGGAAAAGACCCCTTGACAAGTTGGTAGAAGTCCTTGGGTCCTCCTGGCGGTGGGCAGTGGCCATCCTAGCCTTTGTAGCCTGTAGCTTGGTAGTATTTTGTTGTTCTTTATATTGTTGTTGTGGATTGTGGGCCCAGGGTAGCACCCTCTGGTTCAGATCCCTCACCGTGACCCTGTAGGGGTGGAGTGTGGGTCCCAGGTCTGCCTGTGATCCAGGCTCACGGCTAGGGATAGGACCCTGGATTTAGAATGTTACATTAATGCAGTAGGGCGCCTGCGCCTAACTTACGTAAGCATGATTCAGCTTATCGCATCACGCATGCGTGGCAGAATGCCGCTACTGTTCTCTGACATACATAAAGCCCGTGCGGGCCCCTAGTGCTGGAGCGCACGCCTCGCCATCAAGCTGGTGCCTGCCATGTCATTCTCATGTCGGCTCCTTGAGTGTTCTTTCAACCGGGCGTCTCACCACCGAAACCTTCCCTTCTCCATCAGCTCAGTGCTGACGCTGGGGAAGAGCTGGGGGCCCAAGTCCAGAGTCAAGGCTGAGAGGTGTCAACCGAGAGTGACCACGTGCAGCTCTCCCAGGAACTTCAAGGATCCTGCAATCTGTTTGAGAGTACGCCTGGGCCAAGGGCGCCTCAGTGGGTCAGGTATGGGGTGAATACAAGGGTCCCGCCTCACAGCCAGGGATGTCCACCATAACGACAGGCCTCCCAGGGAGTGGTGAGCACTTGGGGTCAGAGTGTGCATGTAGAGGCCGACGCCCACCACTGCTGGCACCTACCAGCAAGGCAGGGGCCCCTGGCACCTGCGGTTTACGCCCCTACATGGGGACTGCTGGAGACATCCTCTACAAGGGCCGCCCTTCCTTCCTCAGCAAAGGTCTCGAGGCGGTAGGAAGACTGAGACCCCCAAGGACGCACCCAGACACTACTTGTCCTGACACAGCAGTTCCGTCCCCCAAGTCTTCATTTCTGCACCAACACTTTTTTTTCTCATAGAAAAACCCACTGTGTATATTTTGTGAGGACAGCTTATAACAAAGCAAGATCAGGGATGACATGTCCGCGGCAGAACTGTTTTCCTGGGCAGTAACTGTGTGGATGCGCTCACGCTTCACAGGGTGGGGACTGGGCAACCCTGCTCGCAGGCAGAGCCATGCCTGACCTTCTCCCTGGGTCGGCTGTGGGAAGAGCCTACCTTGCCTCACAGTCTGGGGGCCAAGATCATCCCGATGGCTTTTCTGAGAGTTCTAGGGCAGGTCTGGGCCGTGTGGACAGGGAGCCAGGCCTTTGGGCAGACAGAGAGCAACAGGAGGGACCAAGGTCCAGGCTGGGAAGTCGCGTTGGATGGAGAGAACTCTGTCCTGGCCTGGGCTGTGACAGCCCCCACCAGCTCACTCCTGGATCAGTGCCAGCATGCCTTCTCCAAACGCACTGCAGTCGGAGTCCCCACTAGGGTCAGCTGCAGTATCTGGCAACCGGGACAATGAGAGTGACCAATAGGTCGCCTGCCAGCCCTTTTCTTCTCCTTTGTGCACAGGCTTCAGGGCACTTCTTATGCTGTTTGCAGAGGGCACACACTCACACTTACACAGCTAGAGAGGCACATAGGAACACACAGAAAACCTGTGGGCAGATACCCAGAGCCATGTGGACATAGCGACGCATTCGAGTCAGACCCACACGCACGGTGACACGTACTACACATAGCCCACGGAGCAACAAAGACACCTGCACACACACTTCACACACACACACACCTCTAACAATGCTGGTGACCAGCCTTGCTGGGTGTCCCTTGCATGACATATCTTGCCCTACCCATCTGTGCATCATGGGCACAAAGTCAAGGACTCTGGGTACGTAGAGCCTGTCAGTGCAGCTCAGGCTGTCTCTCACCAGTCAGGCTGCTACATGGGCAGGGCTGAGGTCCCTTGAGAGGCAAGACTTCAGGAGCTCTAAAATAGAAGCCCATCCCCCACATCCTCAAACAAAGTGCCACCTTCAGATCCAGAGCTCCGTTTCCCAGGTGACAGAGGGAACTCGGAGTCCTTTCCGACAGTGGGGCATCTGCGGCCTTCGGGAGAGAGGGCTGAAGGCTCCAGTGCCAAGAGAGGTGGGCGCAGGGGTGGAGACGTGGAGTGAAAATCAATGAGGCCAAGGCAGGCGACATTCAGGGCAGCCCTGCTCACGACACGTGTGCTGCGAGTAAACCATCCAAAGCTCCAAGGAGAAGAAAGAGTGGGCAGAGTGTCATAGCCTGCTTGATTCGCTATCCATCCAATCATTCACACGCCTGAAAGCTGAGCGAGGGCAGCAGGGAAGGAAATGATTTGAGGACATGAAGTAAATTAGCCAAGACCGGAAGTCAGGTTTCTATCATTTAATCTACATTTATGGAATTGGGGGTCAGAGACAAAGGAAGAAGATACCAAGCCCTCTGGGCTCCAATCTTGGTAAGGGGGTAGGAGGGGGCAACCAGGATACAAAAAAGCAAGGACACATAGTGTGTATCACAGATGTGCTGTGATGCTAACGGTGCCAGGGAAGCCCCTGGGGTGGAGGCCATCTCCGGCCGGAGGATGGAATGGGCCAGATGGAAGAAGGCTTCCAGGAGTAGCCGGTACGGGGATTGGCAGTAAAAGCAAGCAACCCTGCTTTCTAGACAGTTCCATTGGGGAAAGCTGGCAAAGTTGAATTGCACGGGATGAAAAATTTGGGGACCAACTGTGGCACAATTTAAATAGTGTCCTGGATGGCAACGAAGACAGCAGAGGAAGAAGGCCGGAGTGAGCCAGTGCTGCTGATGACCAAGAACCGAGAAGTGACCACTGAGTTGAGCAACATAATCAATGAGGCCCTTGGAAAGAGGACTGAGTGGATGCCCAACGGAGCGGGGTCCCATCTGCTCTCACCAGACTGTGGTATGGCCGCTTAAGCTTCATTTCCCCCTACCTCCCCGTCAGTGGGGAAGTCCTCAGCCTGCTTTTCTTCAAGGTCATTCATGCTGGTCATTTCTTCTTGAGCAGTGAGGTTGCTAATGTCAGAAGAGCTGGACAGCGGGGCCTGGGCAGGGCAAGGTGCCTGGTGCCGCCCAAGCGCGGTGGCCAGGAAAGCCTTCAGGCACTGGCGGAAGTGGCAGCTGGAGAAGGCATACAGGATGGGGGTGAAGCAGCAGTGGAAGAAGGCGAAGCTCTCTGTTACCTGCAGGGCATAGTCCAGGTGCTGGCTGACCTTGCAGTCCCCAAAGACTTTCAGATCCATCAATGAGTGCAGAAACAAGGTGAGGTTGTATGGGAACCACAGCACGAAGAAGGCCATCACGAGGGCTGCGGCTATCCTCAGAGCCCGGCCCTGGCCTGGCGGCCTCACTCTGACCAGGACAGAGGCGATGCGGGAGTAGAAGAAGATCATGGCAAGGAGCGGAAGGAGAAACCCCAGGAGGTTCTGCTGGAAGCGGAGTAAGAGCTTCCAGGGGGTCCCATGCCCCCCAAAATCAGGATAGCAGTTCCACACACCCGTGGGGTATTCATGAGTCCGCACAAAGACCACGTCAGGGATGGAGACGACCAGGGCCGCAGCCCATACCATCGCAGCAAGGAGCCGGCGCCTGGCCGGCGTCCTCAGCCTGGGGTGGGGCTGAGCGTGGACGATCTCCAGGTACCTGTCCAGGCTCATGCAACTAATGAAGAAGATGCCGCTATAGAGGTTAATGGTATAGAGGGCGCTCACCATCTTGCACAAGAAACTCCCGAAGACCCAATGCCAGATCACGGTGATGCTCCAGAAAGGCAGCGTCACCACAAACAGGAGGTTGGAGAAGGCCAGGTTGACCTCAGTCATCCGCCTGCGAGGCACGTACCGGAGCAAGACCACGAGGAGGAGGAGGTTCCCGCCCAGGCCCAGCACAAAGACCAGGCTGTAGAAGATTGGCAGGAAGACTTTGCCAAAGGACAGCACCTCCTCCTTCATGCACAGCATGAAGGCCACCTGGTCCAGGTAGTCCTCATAGTCGTAGAAGGAGCTGCTGTTGTCAGAAGGGGCGGCCTCCGTGGTGAGCGGCAGAGGTGAGGCCATGTGGGGAGGACACATCCAGTCCTGGAGCTCTGCGGACCAGAGGGTAGTGTGAGAGAAGTAAGATGAGACCCCGCCTCTCTCCAAACCCCCTTTTGCTACCGCTTGAGATGTCCAGCAGATTCTTCTTCGCATTTACATATATATATATATACTTTGAAAGAGTCAAAAAGATGGAAGGGAAAGCCAGTGGATGACAGGCACACACAGGATTCTATATGGCAGCTACCGGGGCAGAAGACAGAGGCATGGGATGGCGGCAGGTCATTGTCCATGATCAGGTTCCCTCTGAGGCAGTGGTTTCCCAAATTTTAATTGCATTATCAAAAATAATTTTTAAAAGAGAGAGCCTCGCTGGGGGAAAAAAATGGTGTAGGTGATAGAGGCTCTGTCCATCCCTCTGGCGACCAAATCAAAGTCGTGACAGAAACAAGGAGCAAACAGCAAGGAAAATCTCGTGGGATCTAGATGAACAAGCCATACAACTAGGGAGAGAACTAAGAAATTACCTTGCAACGGCAGAAGGTAGGACGGGGCGAGGACACGGGGCTGCCTGGTCCGGAGCGGCTGAGAGGGACGGAGGCTGCGGTAGCGGCAGACGACTCTTAAAGGGGCCGTGTCCGGACTTCTGCTGTGACGGACCTGCTCGCTCTGAGCAGTTTGGCTGCACCAGTTTGGCTGCACAGAGGGCACCAGGGACTTACAGGGGAACATGTAGTTGTCGGAATGAGGGCCAAGGCAAGACTCGCTCTGTACAGAGGTGCCTGTGGTATCCATTGTTCCTCTGTTGAGCCCTCCCCCACTCCCGGTGTGCTGAAGCAGTGCCACCATAGCAGAGTCGTCATCAAACCGGATAACAGAGGTCACTCCGTCCAGAGGATTCCCTGAAACTCCACCCAACTGGCGGCCCCACCCAAGCCACATCCAGGTAAACCCTCAGTGAGTCACGTCCTCCTTGCTGAGCAGCACCTAGACTCACACTGGAGGCAGCTGACCTCGGTCTCTGGTGTGGCCTTTTGAGGCAACTATGAGCACAGCATCTGTGGATTGCTTTCTGGATCTCAACGGGGGGCCCTGGAAGGGCACAGGCTGGAGCTAAACTTGGCCTGCAGCTGAACGCCCCCCCCGGACACCTATCACACAAAACCACAGGAATGAGACTGAGAGATTTAAGAGCTTTGCTTAGTACATAGAATCAGACACAGAAAGGCAGCCAAAATGAGAAGACAAAGAAGCAGAAACCATCTGAGAGAACAGAACAGAGATCCAGATATAATGGAGTCAAGTAATCTAACAGATGCAGAGTTCAAAACACTGGTTATAAAGATGCTCAATGAACTTAGAGGAAGTGTGGACGAATTCAGTGAGAATTTAACAAAGAGTTAAAAAACATAAAAATGGAAATGGAAATTATAGAAGGGAACCAATCAGAAATGAAGAACACATTATCTGAGATGAGAAGTATATTAAATGGAATAAATAGAGTGAATAAAAAAGAGGATCAAATGACTTATATAGAAGACGGGAAAGCCAAGGACACTCAATCAGAATGGCAAGGAAAAAGATGCCAAGACTATAAAAATAATTTAAGGAGCATAGGGGACACTATTAACGGTCAAAATATCCATCTGATAGGTGTGCCTGAAGGAAAATAAAATGTTGAACAGCTGTTTGAAGAAATAATGATGAAAAACTGCCCTGACCTGGTGAAGGAAATAGACCTAA